GCCACATCCACAATGAAGGGCATGCTCTTTACAAGCCCACATGTGGCTCAGGTGGTCAAGCACCCTATCCATAAATCCGTTATCCAGTTGCCCACAATTGTCCAAGGGCTACATCATTTTTAATAAGGACTGCAAGGGTGCTGGGTGCATGGCTGGGTGTCTTAGACAGTTTCAGGGGAAAGCAAGGAGCAGGCAGTAGAAAACTGTCTAGTTTTTCCCCTGGAAATAATGTAGAATAAAGAAGTGTCATTAGTTAAATGCTGCTTGTGAATTAAAGGGCAAAGGACTAAGTGACTAAAGAAACTACGCAGATGTGAACATGGTTTGTGATGGTTGCTTTCATGTCTGTTCTCTGAGACAAAATGCCAGGCTGCTTTCTACTCGCTGTCTGTAGCTGTTCTGTCAGTGTGACACACTGGTAGGATACATTTTACATACAGACCCTGAAGTCCCTGACATTACTTTGTCACAAACATCCACTTGAAACATCTTCCAAGTGTCTATGCCACCAGATAACCAACCCATGGTACGGCAACCAGAACAGCACCCTGACACACCAGAGAAACAGCGTCCAGTGAACAACCAGAAACGTCTGTACATTTTTCCAGGTCATAAAGGCTTAACTCTCACTGGGGCTTTGAATCAAGTTGTTTCTGAGCATCCACAGGCAGAGGGTATTGACAGAAAGGCAAGATGAATATTCTGCTTGCATTTCAATAAGGAAATCTTTCCAAATTGCAGACTAAACAAGAAAAAAAAATACAATGCAAAAACACCAGGAAGAAGAAAAGGATGTTAATGAGCACCATTTCTTCTTAACAAAAAGAAGATTCCAGAGTATTTGATTTCATTTATTGCATTGAACCTGTGTCAGGTTTGGATGCATTTCACCATCTTTGAACACTGTTTTAGCATCTTGTGATATTCCTCTATCTGTGAGAGTAGAGATTATATTGGTGGAGATGAAAAATCTGGAAGGAATAAGACATGGACTTGCCAGAGGAGGACTTTTAGTCATCTCACTTTTAGTCTTGCATGGTATTTCCAATGCTTTTTTGAATTCTTCTTGTCAGTCTTTCTATTTACCCAGATGCCCTGACATAAACCAAACAATGCTAAGGTCTGATTCCTACTAAAGTGACAGGCTTGCTTTTTAGGTTGGTTCATTACTTTGGAGTGCAAGGTGAGTAAAGAAGACAGAAACATTGGTCAGCTTTATTTACCTTATAACTGAGCCCATGCTGGTAGGACAGGAACTGAACTCATGGATGCCCTTCCAAGTTCTGATGAGAAATTGCGTGACCTACGTGACTGATTTGGTTGCCTAAGAAGTCAGTGGCAGAAATAAGAAATCAACTGTATTTCTCAGTTTAGGGCATGTAACTATACCATTCCTGTAACTCTGGATATAAATTTCTCTTTACGAATGATGCAAACATTTAACTATTTTCACTTACAGGGTAATGCCTTATTTCTGTTAGCAATTATAGATCAAGGTGAGACTATTTTAATATCCATTTCTATATATCTCTAAATAAATTAAAGATGTAACTCTTTGCTTGGCTCTTGCTATATCTTTTTTCTTATTTTTCTTGATCCAAAACAAGTTTCATACCTTCAGAGTAGCTGAAAAAAAAAGATATTTCAATATAATATCAGGGTTATGTCAGGAAGATAACAAGGGAAAGTTAGGCTAACTACAGCCAAAGAGATCCAGCTGTCTTAATCCCTATAAATCTCTGCTAGAGAAAGAAGAAAGAAAATATGTAAAATATCGAAATTACGTATGTCTCATGTTTAATGTTTCCACAGATGTCTAACCAAGCTTGAAAGTTAACATTTAATTCAAAGAATAGGAAATACCAAGGAATCATTTACAAGACCACAGGTCACCAGGGGAATACAGTAGTCTGAATTCGTAAATCACAAGCAAGCAATGTTAACAGAATCCTTAGTGGTTTTTATCTCATTTCCAAGGGTCTGTACATCTGTTACATATTTTTTTAAGTGCTGGTGGTAATCATAACAGTGTACAAAGGAACATACGTAACCATGGGGACTAATAAGAAAATTTCTGTGGTCATGGTTGACAAGATCCTGGAACTTAAACCTCCGAAAACCACAGGCAAAAGTTTTACATGTCATGGCAGGCATTACATCACCTAATTCTATTCTGCATTTAAAGTTAAATTAAAAGTATTCCAAAGTCATTGCCTGCCTGAACATTCATCATACAGAAGAGAATGTGGCCATCAGGCTACTCCCTGAAAGAGGAGATGAATCAATCAGTGTTCAGAATCCCGTTTTCAAAGCCATCAGTCACCATATTGCACTTCCAGAAAGTTTCAGGATGAGGTTCAAGAAACCACTTAGGTAGATGTGTAAAGTCCACTGCTAAAAGCTGAGGGTTGACAGAGGTTCGGTCAGACAGCAGGAAAGGGCAAGACTTCGAGGGCTGAGTCCACACAAGTTGTTTAAAGCTCCATGGTGAAATAATGCAATAGGGGAGGTGGGCAGTGGGGGATAGCTGTGAAGAGAAATATCTGAAGGTGATAAAAAACTGTTAAAATGCACCTGAATTGAAGGCATGTAGAGAGGCTGCAAATGAGAACCTTTCCCTAGGCTGTAGTCATTTTTACTATTGATGCTTTTTGTGAGTCATGCAAATGTCTCATTTACCCGAGGCACTAAAATGAGAATGACACCTCAGGAGGATGTCTCTGAGATTTAATTAGTTGTCATTTACCAACAATCCCGAGTAAAGACCATATTACTTTATCAGGTGTACTTCTGTAACACAAATGAAAAAAATACTGTTAGGAAATTTAACAACATAGCGTATGCAAACCTCATTTAATATCTTTGAAAGTAATTGGGGAATGGGAGCCCTCATTTTGATTTTGAGGCAATATCTGGAAAGCATGTGCAGCATGTGAGCTGTGAGAATCTCTCTCCATTCTTTTGCTGGCTTCTAGGAAAATGAAAGGACTCCAAATTGCAGTCCTTAGAAGGACCAGGGGGGAAAATAACTTTCCGATAGGTGTTGAATAACTTGTGGTTCAAAACAGAAGTCTGCAAGTCCTACAGCACCAGTTTTAATTTGATTATGGTCAAAATCTGAATGTAACTCTAAAACATCTGAGTTTTCAATAGTTTAGAGTAACTTCCAGCAAGCTCTGAAAGCTAATTATTCACCACCAATATCAATCAGATTGCTTGTGTAAATAGTTATCTAGGCACAAGCAATAAAAAAGAAAATCTATCCCTTTGACTCTCACAGTCATCAAGCTTACATGAATGGACCCTACTCCCTATAAACTCTCCTCCATGTGTTTTCTATAGGATTTCTTTATCCACACTGTATCTTAGCAGAAATTTACACACTGTCAACAATGGACAGTTTCACTGAGTTGCTTGTGCTGGTTAGTTGTCCCAGTCCCAACTGGGCGGTTTTTACCCTCAGCATGGGCAGAAGAGGAAGAAGAGGGGCTGCTGTCTGCCCAAAAACCCTGTCCCATGGACCAAAGACATCAGACATGACAGGCATCCTGAGACCATCTCCACTTTCTGCCAAAGGCTTGCTCACAGCCTGTAAACTGGAACTTAATTTTTGGCTTGACAGGGCTCCCCACTGAGACTTTAAAGGCTTGCAAATGCTACTAGTATCTCATGTGAAAACAAAGGAACTGGAGCTTGGTGAGGGGTGTGGAGGAGATTTTTCAGGTGTCTGTCACGGCAAGAAACACCGTCAACAACCCATACAGCCAAATACTGTCCTACTTATTTTTTATAGATGAAAATTCAGACTGTGCTTCTGAAATAACATCCTCAGCTGTTTCTATCTCTTGGCTTATAAAGTGACATTCCACAGAGTTTAAGCATGGCAAAGCAGCATGGGCCATTTGCTTGGAGAGCTATCATGTCCTGAGAACAAAAGATAAAAAAGATAAATAGCCAAGTACAATACTGTACTTCAACAACCTAAAAGACAATCTCAAAACTGAATGGAAGAATGGAGAGATTTTATTTCTTGGTTTCTTAAAGAACAAAGCTTAGCTATTTCCTTTAAAAGCTATTCAACAAGCTCCCCTAAAGCCTATAACAATTTAATGTGAAATGCATGTTTCCATAAGAACAACAGTGGCAGCATTCATCCTTTGTAGTCTGTCCTTTGTTGTTTTTTCTATCTATTCTTGTAGATTTTTCCACTCTAGTATACCGAACACAAAACAAGGACTGATAAAATTTTAGTCAGAGCATTTATTTTTTAAGTTGATGCTGGAAATTCAGTTTGTTCCTGCTTGTTGACTGAATAATGCCAAATTAAATTATTGTTCAAGGAATTTATAAGGTAAAGAAACTGTTTAGATATTGTCCTAACATTCCTTGCATGCTGATTCTGTATCCAGCAACAGATATTCATCTACACCTAACAGCAAAGAAGGATATACTCTCTGCATGAATGTATATACACAGGCTTCTCACTGTTGCTGAGATCTAAATGTACTGCAATGTATTCAGACTGCGTATCTTAAATCAGTTCAACATCAGCTCAGCACTGCACCATTTTTTTTAGAACCCATGCATGGAGCTCTCTATATAATATTTTTCTAAGATGTGACCAAGTTGGTGGGTGAGACATTTTGTCTGATGTACACTGTTTAACTGAATTCACATTCAGCAAACTGTGAGGCATATTAATTCTTAAAAAGATGTATATTTAGAAAACCTTAGACAAATGGAGACTAGGAAGAGCAAGATGCAACATGTTTTTATTAATGTCTTGCCTGTGGAAAAAGGTGACTTTGATTGTTTGTATGTTCTGAACTCAAATGCTGAGTGTCTTGCTTTTAAATACAGGCAATTAAGTTTTAGCACCTTTAGCCCTTTTAACCTTCACCATCATCACCATTACAAACCTAAACAATGTATTGTTTAACATTATAGTTAAGGTGGTTGATGTTTTTAATCTGTTTTCCCTCTCGTTGTGTTTTAATCAGGTAACAGATATTAAAGAAAAGCTAAAGCTCTCTAAAAAGTTCTGGTCAACATTACCCTACACAATCTGCAAGGATGAGCGAGTGACAGCCGGTCCATCAGTCGAGGAGGACTGCTGGAATGGCCACACCAAGGCAAGGTGAGGTGGACCCCTCTCCACCACACTTGGTCCAAATCCCCATCTGGCCTGAAGCAATCATGAAGCTGGGGGTATTTCAGAAAACTGTTTATGAGAGTGAAACAGAAATGAGTAGAACGAGTAATTGTCCACACACAGCTTGTAGCCAAGATTACTTATTGTCAAAGTGACATTAAAGTCGGAGTGTGAGTCAGGGTAAATGTGCACAGTTTGTCAGCATGTGAACACAGAAAATGTGCATTGGTTCGGCTCCAGAAGGATAATTTATACTGAGATTTCAAAGAGCTCTTTAGGTCCATTTAACATCCCTGTGTTGGGACTGACAGCTTGTGAAGCAATTGCACCCTCGGGATGTCATATTGGGATGAAATAGAAATTGGAATTTTGGCTCCATTTCCTATTGGCTGGTAAAGCTTAGGGATGTTTACTGGAGGAAAAAAAGCCTGAAAAACACCAACCAGAGAATAAACGTAGCACTGCTACTTATCTTGTGTTGAAGATTTGACCTTATATTACTTCATCAGAGATAACTGTAGTCATCTGCCCTTGTTTGTGATGAGTTTTCTGTGAGTTATAATTTTGAAGTTTGCTTGGCCCTGGCTGCGGCAGACCTGGAGCCAGCAGATGATCAGGTGTCTCCAAAGGTCCCAGTGTAGATTCATCACCTAACAGTGGAGAGGATCTGATTATCCTTGCTGAGAGAGAAAGGAATTGGCTCAGGGACCACACTGGGGACAGTCTGCTTTCAGGTCTGCAGCAGTAACCTGTGCCTTTGGGTAGATGTGAGGAGTGGAGAGGTTTGAGTGTCTGGTGACAGCTGAATCCGGAGAGCAGTGATACCTTTTGGCACTCAGGGACTGGAATCTTATTTTCCTTTTCCTGACAATACATACAAAGAAATAATATAAAAATGAGATAATAAGAAAAAACAACCAGACAACCAATTAAAAAAAAAAAACTCAAAACAAACAAAACAAAACAAAAAAAGAAAATAAGACAAACACATAAAATATAAAAACTCAGTGAAAATAAAACAACATAGGAAAAAAACTTACAAACCTGCTCAATGTCATTTTACATGGATGGATGGATGGATGGGTGGACAGATACTTAGATAGATTGCACCCACCCCATCATCTCACCATCTAATCATTTTGATAAGGAGCACAGTTTACAGGGGGAGGTTTCACACTGAATGCATACCATTCTTTCCTAGTCTTACTATGTAACATTTAAAAAAATTCATTTTACAGACAAGAGAAGAGGGCTGTTTGGGATGCTGCTAGCCTCTTGAATCCACCTTGGGATGCATGTGAACAAATCTGCCCAAAAGCACGAGTCATTATTTAGTTCCTAAGTCCCAGATCTAGGGAGAGCCCCTGGGGATTCGGAGAAACACAACTAGGAGGAGTGTCTGGCTATTACAGGACTCATCACAAAGGAACAGTGTGAAAAGACAAATAAAAATGTGGATTTTGTCTTTCTTTATGTTATCTCTTCTTGTTAGTGAGCTTTGAAAGCCATGAGCCCAGGCTTGTGCACTGCAGTAGTTAAGCAGAGTTTCCAGGCATCCGAGCTGGATGCCGTTAGTCACATCAGGATGCATGTATCAATAAAAGATATATGCCACTCTTTCTACAAAAGAGCAGTCAAACCCACTAATATCTCTCTATCCCTGCTAGTTTCCATGACCAGTACTAGTGTTTGTACCAAGTGGCCAAAACTTTTCAGCTCTCTTCTGCTTCTGCACTGAAGTCTCTTGCACAGCTTCCACATTTGTTGAGAGTTATGGAGGTGCATTTTATGCATGCAGGTTTTCAGCCTTCTTTTGCAGTATTTATCTTATGAGAAGCCTGGTTATTTTCATGATTTCTGCTGAGATTAATGTTCTGGAGCCATTGAGAAGAGCTATCCTCTGTCAATAATGTGCCTTGATAAGTGAACTCAGACATTTCATTGGATGTAGAATCACAGCTTCAAAACATCACCTGAAAATATGATTTCAGCACATCCAGCCACTGCTCCTATGCCCAGTTTCTGTTTAATATCCATTCACAAAGGAAATGTATAGTCACAGGTTTTGTAACAGAATTCGATAAATGCTTCAGGTGAAGGCAATAGTAATGAATCAGAGAAATGCCACAGAATGCCATGGCCTGTATATGAAGTAACATTGAAAACGATATTGAAAATAGTATTGAAAATAACTAGTTTTAGATGCAAAATCACCTCTTGGGTGGTGAGCAAGGACATTTACTGCAGCATTAAAAAAACCCTAAAACATAAAGGTTTCCTTGTTCAGACTGATTAGTATCTGATATCAAATATTATTTCACAAGAATAAGCATGGCAAAATCTGACCAATATTCATATATGTATAACTTTGTTCGCTGTGTCATATGTCACAGCTGTCATAAGCATCTCTGTGCTATATGAAGAGCTGCATATTAAATTCCAGAGAATATGGCAACAGCCTATGATAGAAAAAAAGGAAATTTAGCCATCTCCCATTTTCCTAGACATTAATACTGTAAGTAAGGAGAAAACATGGTGTTGGCTACTGTTGCTAAAGGAAATTATTGCTGGATTTTTATCAGAATCTGTTATGGAATAAGGAATTAGAAGCTTTGAATTGCCAAACAGACATTATGCCTTATGTTTCATTTTGCACATCACTTTTTAATGCTGCTTTTACAGGGGAAAAGAGTTACAAACCTGAGATCACAGCAAATGAAAGCTTGGCTTTCTCCTGAGAGAGGCATTACACCAAGGTCATTTGTGGTTATTAAACTCCCTAAATATCACTTTGCTGCCATGATTAATTTACAGTGACACCAGGTCGCCAAATGGAGGTTGCCAATTTGTGAGTAACCATGTAGTAACAGAGTCATCCATTTGGCGTTCTGGAAGGGTGCACTTGACTCATTGCTGATCCTGTACAAAGAATAGTTTTAATCAGGTCACAACAGGTAGAAATTAAATGCTGTGGAAATGGGAAAATATTTATTAGATGGATGAATCTCTTTTTTTGAAAAATCCATATTAAAAATAATAATAGCTACTTCAGACAAAGTGCCACTTAGAGAGATGTCCAGCAGGACTTCTCCTTCATATCTGTATCACAAAAGAACTTGAACATAATTTTATGTTCAAAGAATTAATGTCTTCTGCCAGATGTACAGAGAGATTTTTGAAAGCTATATGGGATCTAAAAAGCAACAGGAAGATCAAACTTTAAAAATTTACCTCCCTCCCTACATACAATTAAATTCTTAACAACCACTGATAACCTCTTCACTAATACATTTTCTCCAGAAATTAAGAAAGTTTCCCAAGAATTATGGAATTCAGTCTTTGGGACTTAAACCAAGTCCAAGGTATTAGTCCTTGAACAGGTGACTTTTACTGAAGTCAAAACAGCAACCAAATCCGAAACCACTCTGGTCTTCAGGAGAAGAACCTTGAATTACTCCAACCAACTCAGTCAGGTCATTTCAACCAAAACATTCAAGAGATTGTGTCATGCACTGTCATACTGGTGCTCATGCTCATCAGGACTGTAGACTTATTATTATGTCTCATCTCTGAGAGGCTGTAATCCATGAAAGAGATGAGACCTGCATTCCTTTCCACAGGGAACCCTTCATTCCTCCAAGTGCAATGAAGAAGAAATAGAATTATATTAAATAAAAAGAAATAAACAGGAAAAAAATAGAGAAAGGTAAGGAATAAAAGGAAAAATGAACATTATAATTTTCAACATCTAGTTCAAAACTACAAGGTATGTCACCAAAATGAACACAGTATAGATTCTCAAATGTCTGAAATTCTCTTCTTCTCCTGCCACACTGTCTACTTCCCTAGCAGAGACCCTTTAATTCCTGGTGAAATTCAGGTGGGAAGAAAGGCTCTCCAGATCAGTGCTTTCCCTCCTAAAGTTACTCACTGCTGACCAGCAAGACTTCCAGTGAGAATGAGTTGAATGTCCTTTACTTGGAGGTAGGCACAGATAATTGTTTATCACCACTAGTGAAAGTGTGAATAAACCACTTCTCAGTAAGTGTGAAAACTGCCTATTCTTAATTGATGGTTCTAGTCTATTTTTACATCTTCCTTTCAGCAAGTTGGCAGATAAACTATTTTCTTCCTCTCCTTATGTCTCCTCAAGCTTTTCTCCAAGATGGATCCAAAAAAAAAAAAACCAAACTGAAAATATCCTGTGGGGATTACCTCCTGAGCAAACAGAATCAGATGAGGTGATCTAGTTAGCCAAACAAGCCAATTTTCCACTGCACTTATCTTTCTGGACCAGATGTGACTGCATACTCCCAGCCCAGCCTTAGTAAGCCTGTGCTGTATTTTGTACTCTATTGCCTACAATTCTGTGCACCTGGAAAATCTCCAGTACTGCCTAGGTGACATGCTCCAGTTGTACTCTAAGCAGCTGCTGTGGCAGCAAAATATGGAAAATGTTGCCCTTTAAGCCAGATGTGTTTTAAAAATCAGAAGACTCCTCTTTTTTTTTTTTTTTTTACAGGAGCAGGACAGGTGGGGAGGGGGGGGGAGTGTCATATCTACAGCCTTTCAATAAATTACCTGAAAGATTCATCAGTCATTTCTAGACTTGAAAAGGAAGTAGAAATCTTGGAGTATTAACTGGTTATTAGGGGGAAAAAAAAAAAAGTGATTTTAAATAGACTTTCTGGTTCTTGGCTATGATGTACCAAAAGACACTTTTGCTGTGTCTGCTGAGATAAGTGAGAACTCAAGAACTGTGGAAAAGCTAAGAGGAATGGCAGGCATTAATATTTTAGAAAACAATGTAAATTACACTAAAATCCTGACATAGCTGAACAAGGAGCAAACAGCAGAAAACAAACAGTATTATTCAGCTTCTCTATACTCAGAGGGCTAAGAAAGCTTGATTATTTTTTTTTGCTCAGAGGCTGCAGAGAACAGACACTGATTCAGGTTGACGCTTCTTTTCATTTATAATGGGCATACAGTTCTTGTAATGGCCAAGCCTACGAAGAGATCATTAACTAGAGCAGAAGCAGCGGCAAAGCTCAAAATTCACAAGGGTGTCTCCACTTACAGAACTGCAGCAAAAGCAGCTGTGTTCAACAACTTTGCCCAGCCAGCAACAAATCTTCTGTCAAAAAGTGGTCCCAAGACATGGCTTCCTATTCGGTGTGACTTAACCCTACCCCACACACATCAAAATGCTTTTGTCAGAACACATGCTGGGCTGCCTCTCCGAGACTGTTGCTCAGGAAACACCTTGGGCTGCATGTTCTTGTGTCTGCATCAGTCCTTTAAAGAAAGGAAAACAATTCAAAGATATTTACATTCAATATAGGCTTTTCTGACTGTTTTTTCCTCCCCTGAGGAAGTAGGTGAACTTGTTCACTAATGAGGCCAGAATACAGCTACACGTTCAGACATGTGAATTCATGTACTTAAATGTGAATAAGACAATAAGGAGTGTGTTGCCCATGTGATAGTAGTATCATTGGAGACTCTTTGGCACATCCGAGATGAGTATGACACAGGACACTACCTCCCCTCTGGACCACAGGCTATATTAAAATTGCTTAAGTGATTTTAAAACCACCAATGTTAAGGTGCCTGAAGACAGACCCAATATCCCGTCAATGTAGTCAGAGACAGTTTTCCACTGCCTGAGCACACTTACCTCCTGCTATGTTAGATGGTCTAAATAGTCAAGATATCTGCATGTAGCTGACGAATTAGACCCTGGACCTGCAGGATATTCAAACCCTATTGGAGTGGCAGCACAACACCAAGCCTAAGTCCTGGTGGCTAAAGTGGTATTCAAGACTCAATGCAGCTGTCCTAAAGTAAGACACACACTATAATTTTAGATGCCCCAAATGTCCAAGACCTCCCCCTCAAGCCTGCAGATATGATCCAGAAAGCCTCACCTTTTAGAGCTAGTGATGAGAAGAGGAAAAATAACCAAGAGTATTCAAATGGCACCAGATGTCTATGTTTATTCAAGTAAATCCCAGCAGATGAAATATAATGAACTAGTCATTTGGCCAAAGGCACATGGGACTCTAACAGCTGTCCCCGCTCCACTGATGAATAAACTCCTGACTAGCTGTGACTAGATCTTGTGTTGACTAGATCTGGCAAGAGTGACACTCTGCTTGTATGCAGACACTTTCATTTGAACTTACAGGTTTTATTATCTGTGTAAACCTAAAGATAAATTTTTAGCCTCTTTAATTATTTTGCTCCTACACCCTAAATGCCAAGGGAATTTAACTATCCTCCTAACCATTAGGCAATCATAAGACCATGGATTTCTTGTGACCTACATCCAGTATGACTCCCTTACACACCTAGGTCAGGTACACTGGACTGTTCTTCTGAGAGGTTAAGCCTTCTGTGCCAGGAATGCTTTGGAGATCAGCACATCCTGGGCAGATACAGCAGGATATGTGACAGTTTGACAAATCTCTTCCTACAACTGAACGGGCTGGCCCATTTAAAGTTAGATGGTCTTCAGAAGGACATCAGATCCACACTAGCCACAGTGTAAAATATGAACCTGGATGAAACGCGCACATCAGAGCACTCTCTAATTGCTCTCAGAAGCAATTAGAATCTTCTTCTATTATTGATGATAAGACAAAATGAAATCAAACAGAAATCAGTCAAAGAAAGCCTGTGAGCTGCCATGCAGAGCTAGCCATAGCTTCTCATGGATAGCATGCAATAAAGAGCAGCTAACCTTTCAAAAACAAGGAGAGCAATCCACATGAATATTCAGCAATTTCAGATCACTTCTGGTTGCTAACAGCTGTAGCCATTTTCATGGACAGGATACGGGGCAAGATGGAAATCCTCTCTGAGCCAGAAGGTCAAGTCTTACATCCTTGCTTTTTTTAATCAACTTTCACCTTGAAATCACTGATTTAATTCTAGAATGAGTAATTTATCTACAGCAGCCATTTCATTTGTAGAGACGTGTGACAGATGGAGATCTGTTCCTTTACAGCCCAGGGCATCCCTACCTGCCAAGGTCTCCATCCTGCTGCTTCCAGGCATCTCTGAAGAATTATTTCCTATTCTATCTTTAGTGATTCATAACATCGTGGTCTGCAGTCCTCTGTGCTGGAGTGCTGTCTCTGTATTCTCACCGTAATAAGCCTTACCACAGGAGTCTGGATGGGATCCCCCAGCATTGTTATTTCACATCATGGTACTAGTGAAACAACAGGACATGCAGTTTGAGGCTGGATATTTTTGGCAATTGTGTTTGGTTCTTATATGTTCACGCTCCCCTGGGATTATTCTCATGTAAGCTTTCAAAGGCCACTGGCAACAAATGAGTCTCATCTTGCAAAGCTAGAACCTATTACAATGAGACTAAACCCTTCCTTGGTGCAGCAAAGCAGCTGCCATTTTGTGAACCTCCAGAAGCAACACAAAACTTATTTTCCCTAAACCATGACTTCAGCAGAGAAAGTCCTTTCTTCTCCCTTACTTTCACGATTATTTTTAAGATATATTTATTTTTCCAGACCAGTATGAACAATGCTGTCATCAGTGCCAAATTTGAATACTGATAGAGAATTGTGTGTGCTCAAGTGAGAGTGATATGAAATATTCTTAAACTATATTTGGTACCAGGCATCATGAACGTTTGTCATTAGTAGGCTAGACTGTGCTATCATTATTTACTGTCTGAGCACACACCCACATGAGGAGTCTAACAAACATCAGCAGCATAGCCTGGTATGCACACTAATTGCAGAATAGATCATATCCTTATAAAAAACATATACAAAGGGTTGATCTGCCCCAAATCCCTTGCAGTCTAAATGTGAGACAAAGACAGTAGGTAAAGACAGGCAAGAGAGAACAGGGAAGCAGTGATACACTATTTTCTCAGGGCACAATACCAGCAGAGAGAAAAAAATGTCAACCTTTTATCAGCCTGGCAGCTGTAAAACGCACAGATAATTTTTAACAGAGATTCAAAGCAGAAAAAAAGGTAGCTTTACTGATGCCTATAAAGAGAGCTTCCTGAGGACAAAGAGCAGCAGGGAATAAAGTGTGCATCTTTGTAACAAAGGGGGATGGAGATTTTTACTCTAGGATGATTGGAGGTTGCTTTTTTGTAGCGGAGAGTTACCTGCAAAAGCACACTTGATGCTTGTGAGCAGACTAAGACTGTATTTGTCAAGGTCAGAGAAAGGAATGCTGCAGTAATCAAGAAATTAAAAGCTAAGAGCCTGAATAAAAAATTCAGTTGGATGGATGGATAGGAAATGCCATACCTTAAATGTTATGCACGAAGTACATGAAAGATGCAAGCGTAGCCTGGTTTTAAGGAATAAGGACAAAATCAAAGAAAATACTGGAGTTTGGTAAAATCACAACCCCTTTTATGGGTCTGGATGTGATATAGGTTGGACATGCTGTTCACAGTGGCCTAAAAAAGGGATACAAGAAAGAATTAGAGAAGAAAATTTATTAAGTGGTTTTTTAAACAAAGCCATAATGCCTCAAGGTAGGCTTCTAAACTGTCTCAGAACAAAAAAAAAGCTCTATATAACAAAGGACTTTGTATTTTTTAAGCAGAAAGAGGTAAAAACAGAAGAATGCACTGTTAGACGTTTAATTTAGTGTATAACCATTCACATCAGCAGAGGATATGAACATGCAGTGACTTACTGCTGGCTTCTGAACCTTTTCCATAGCTCACACAGTCAGTGCACTTGCTGGAGAGTATATGTAAAGTTAAGAGGTTGAAAAACCTAAATTCCTTCTGCTCCCTGTAGTAGCTAAGCTACTAAAAAGATCCTTCCGAGTCAGTAAAATTAAAAACTATATTTTTAAAATAGGTCCACTGGATCTGTTCAAGAATTGCATATTGAATTGCTTAGCACACCATTTGCTGCACAGTGTTTTATTTCTGAAATTACTGCATCTCAAACTAATGATTCATCCTGCTATGTAGATACTTGCCTGAGATTATGAATGATGGGTTAACCAACCAGATCAACAATCCAGAAGTAGATGTGGACATCACAAGGCCAGACACCTTCATTCGACAACAAATCATGGCCTTACGTGTCATGACTAACAAACTGAAGAACGCATATAATGGGAATGATGTCAACTTCCAGGATACAAGTAAGAAACCATTAACTGTCATTACATAAATGTCTTTTTGGAACACATTTATTAACTGGTTCCATTGCAATGACTTTCTTTAGTCTTTGTGCTCTGCACTGCTGACAATATAAGAATTCTTTTTCTGTCACATGAAACTCCAGTTATATAGTTCTTTCTTTTGCTTCTTTTATTAATCTTCATGTCTAGTGTATCAAGACATTGAGAGCTTTCCATAATGCCAACAGTCCACTTCTTTGTCAGAAGAGCACTTAATCGTCTAATTAAGTAACAGTGGCTTTCATTTGGATGCTTTGCTGAATGAAATTTAGCATCACCACCACTTTCCCATTCCCAATGTGTTTATCCCACTGGGGTGCCAGATGGAAGGGGAATGAAGAAAAGGGATGAAAGCTATAACCAACAACACTCATGCTGTTTCCCTCACTCCTTTGTGCCAGGTGATGAAACCAGCGGCTCAGGCAGTGGAAGTGGCTGTACAGATGACATCTGTCCCACCGAGTTTGATTTCATCACCACTGAAGCACCACCTGTCGACTCAGACAGGAGGGAGGTGGAAGCTTCAGCCACACAGCCTGGCTGGTCACTGCAGACGTTGCTTGTCATCTTCATCAGTCTTGTACTGCAGAGACAGTGGAGATAATCCTGGATCTTGTGGGAGAAACTGTGTTTTAGCTACAGAAACAGCCAACTTTCTTCTTTTCTTATACTCTTGGACAATGGACCATGCCACAAACACTTGCAGTTTTCTACAAGAGAGCAGTACTGCAACCTGCTTCCCGTTTTAGTTTTCCCAAAGAGTACCAGGTACCAGACTGAACTGCTTCCTGCTTTTTTCAGATATCTCTGAAGACAATATCCACTCTTGAGAGAATTCTTTCTCAAACCTTTATTACAGGAGACTTTCTGAGTTTCATTTCCTTTTATGCTGCAAAAGGGAAAAAGGATCTTACGGTGTGTGTTTTTCCCCCATCAGAGAAAAAAGAGGGGGGAAGAAACTAAGAAAACAGTTTTCTTTCTGAATCAGGCCTGATTCAAGGCTGCTGTATTTCAACAGAATATCAATGAAATAACAAAAAAAAAAAAAAAAAAAAAAAAAAAACACAAGAAAGGAACAAAAAATGCAACCGTTCTTCGCTGACAGCCAGGTTTCCTTAGGAACTTCTGTAGGATGATTCAGGTCATCAGAATGATCATTGTTATAGGGAGGAAGGCTGGATTTTTTTTTTCCAACACGAAAGTATGTCTCAACAGTGAATGTCTTGCACTCCATCTGCCAGCCACATCAGATTGGTATGAAGGCAGAGAAGCTGAAAAATAAGTTTACCTTTTAGTATAGTAGTAGCTCCACTAGCTTCAGAATATCATGTTACAGTTGTTTAGTATTTAAATCTTAATGCCCAATAAAAATATGAGTAGTAGCACAGTTTCTTTTAGGATTTATCCATGTTATGCAATTGGCACAGTTTTCCACTTAGCTCACCGCTGTGAGCTCATCAGCCATGACAGTAATATAAACAACGCTCTTGACCTCTCAAGGGTTCAGACAGAAAATAATCTCTTGTGATAGAATCTTTTTCCTTTTGTTACTGTTCTGACATCGATTAGAACTTTCTGCTACTATGTTCATTATCCTACCAAAATGGCAATTCTCTAATGGACTAACAGCAACTGGATCAATAGTGTGTTTCACACCTAACTACATCTTTCATATCAGTTAATTTGAGTGTCACAAGGATTTCATCTACAAAATCTGAGAACAAACAAAGATATAGTACTGACATGGAGATTTCTTTCACTTTTTTAGTCTTAGTATGATCATCTATTTTTATATATATAAATATATATAAATCACAGATTTTAACTTCTTAATTACAAGCTCAGGGTTGACACTTCTTTGTAAGAAAAAAGCTTTTGGTCAACCAGCTCTTCTTTTTTTTGTGCTGCTCTGGAAAGTAGCCCTTTAATGACTGGTAAGCATGAAAATCAAAGAAGAGAATTTTTTACGTATCCAGTTGTCCATTTCTTAACAAGTTTGCAGGATGAGGGAGAAAACCTCTCTCATATGTATGTATTTGGGGGGGGCATGTGAGTTTGTATGATAGGCCTAGAGAAGGACTAGGATGTTAATTGTGATGGCAATTGTACTCTCAGATTCTTCAAGCATACCTTGCTTTAATAATCATTGCCTAAACGACCATGGTCCTGGATAGAGTTTTTTGCATCTGGTCATAAGACCCAAGGTGGAAGCTGTTTCAATCCTGGACAAATGAGTGTCAACAATTAGACATCAAAATCTTCCTTCTTCTATCAACCGCAGACAAAGGACTTCTGGGGCAATGCTGTGTGGTGTTGAAATGATTTGCCAGAAATTTATTTCCTGATTCTTATGTTGACTCTGGAAATGGTATAGACAAATTGTAGTAACACTGTAAATCCAGCCAACCACATTACAATTTAGCAGCAGAGCAGGTAGATCTTATCCATTGCAATCACTTTTTCTTGTCAAATTATAATTAGCTATCGATTTAGGCATGAAATTAAAATAGAAACACACAGCACGTTAGGATAAAGTATACTTAAGCACTTTTACCAGAAAGTATTTACAAACTATTTATATAGTATGTCTAATAACAAAAAGCATAGGTTTTGAGTCACTTGTATTCCATGCTTTTTCTTTTTCCTGTTTATTTGTTTGCTTGCTTCAGAGTATAACAGTAGCATCATAGAATGATAGAACCATAGAATCATTTGGGTTGGAAGAGACTTTAAAGATCATCTAGTTCCAATCCCCCTGCCATGGGCAGGCATGCCATTCACTAGATAAGGCTGTTTAGGGCCCCATCCAACCTGGCCCTGACAGGTGGTCTGTTCCTCTGGGCCCAGATTAGTGTGCATGAGTCACTGTCTAAGTGTTCAGATCACACGAGTCTTACACCAGCCATAGCAGTGTGTCCCACTTCTCCAAGGGTTCCCCCTGGAGCAGGTCTTGTCATTCAGTATTTACTGTCTCTAGGAAGTTTAAGCCAATTCTTATTGGCTTTTTCTTTTGCCCTGGCACAGCAGGTACCAAGCACAGGGTCTTTGCTTTTAATTTTTTTCCTAAACTTGCACATGCATCATTTTACAGAGAGAACTCTCAAAATCTCCCCAGTCCATGTCTTTCTACCCATCTCCACATCCTTTCTACACTTCTCTTTAGCAACTTTGTTTCAGGAGAAGCTGAGTGTGATTTTGATTTCTCCCACTGTGTGTTTATTCAGTGGTAACTGATACTATTATTCTCCGTCTGGAAGCTTATCAACAGGCAACAAAGTCCAAGGCCTCTAAGGCAAGTCCTCTGTTGTACCTGCTCCACACTGCTAGTAAAGGAGCTGATGAACTCATCAGGTCTTTGTGTTAGCCTCAGCCCACATGTAGGTGATCTGGAGACTATTTTCAGCTGGTGCAACCAAAGTGTGTGTCCAGGGTGCTCTCGGCTGTTTGTAGACCTCCACGGACTTTTGGACAAGGAGGAAGAGGGATCCCTAAGAACTAGGATGTGTGCTGAAGGCTGTTCTCACTCGGGGAGCTTGCAGCAGGGACCCTCCTCTTCTTGGACTGGATTTTACAAACTGCTGCTCAAAAAACAAACCAGCCTAATCTTTGTCAAAATGAAATTGTATCGAGGGAGTTCTGCCAGAAATTTGTGTCTTCCATAACATTATTTCTCCTCTTATTTTCCTACTATGCATGGTGATATCTTGTCAGGAGACGGAGATGCCTTTTCATGAGGTATTGTGCATACATTTCTTTAATAGTCCCTAAAGATTAAATACTCCGTTCCTACATTGCATTTTTCTGAGATCAAGAGAGCTATTACATCTACAGAGGAAATTAATTTGGGAATGAAAGAAAGAAAAGAAAGAGCATTCATGTTCATAAATATGAGACTCTACATAATTTCCAATGTTTCTGTTTGCACATCCTTTGCATCCAATAACTCTTCTAATAAGGTAATTTTTTGGTGTGTTACAATTTAAATTTCTCTTCTGCTAGCAGTCAACAAAGTAAGAAATTATAAAGAAGGCAATTACCTGTTCAAGAAAGAGGAGCTAAGTCCTAAGGAAAAGTGCTTTGATTGTGTAAACCATCTATGCTGCACAATCCAGAAATTCTTGACATTTCGTGTTCTTTTAAAGTGGAGACTAATAAAAAATTAGATGCAATTAATTACATAACAAGTCCTGCAGAGCCCTGTGAGGTTTTTCTTTTCAATATTAACTGAATTGCTTTGGCACCAACCCCAAATTTTTAATGTTTATTGTATTGCAGATTTTTCCACTGATAACTCAGTACATAGTATTATAACTGCAGTGCAGACTTCCTGAACTCTGGCCAAACTTAGGCATTCCAAAAGAGACAATCAGGAAAAAAAAATTGAAAAAAGGGGGTAGAGATTTCCAGCAAAAGGAGAGGAACCTGTGCCTCGGTGTTCTGATAAGGGTTGATCTATCCCAATACCCTAAGAGATATCACAGAACTCTGTCCATGGAAAGCTCCCAAAACCTGAATGTCAGACACAAAAATCATCCCAGTTCTGTGGGATTTTTATGAAGGATTATTCTCACAGATGTATGAACCAGTTTCAGCTGCTTCCATGCAAAATGTCTTTACTGTGCGAGTAGCAGCACACTGGAACAGATTGCCCAGAGAGGTTGTGGAGTCTCCCTCACAGGAGATATTCAAGAACCATCTGGATGCAATCCTGTGCAATGTGCCCTGGGATGACCCTGACTGAGTAGGGAGGTTGGACCAGGTGATCCACTGTGGTCACTTCCAATCTCACCCATTCTGTGATTCTGTGGTTATGTGATTCTGTGAGCTGGAGCTGTTCTTGGGAGCTGGACTGCACATGCAGTGTCTCAGTAGGCAGCAGTTGCCTTCAATTTACTGACTCTGAATCATTATCAAATGTAACTATACTTATTCACTGAGACATTTATTACTTCAACGTGAAAAATAAATTACAGCACTGATGCAAGTTGTGTTTTTTGTTTTTAATTTGCTTCCTAAGGTAACCCATTAAAACTGAACACAGAAAATTTTAGAATGATTATGTATGTTTCAACAGATTTCATTTTGGATATTAAGAAGAAATCCTCATTTCAAAGACCACAAAACAATATTTACTGTATTAATCCACAAATGTTCAAAGCTACTAAAGGAGAATGAATAGAGTTAACAACAGTGGAATATTACATAAAATTGCAAAAGCCATAATGTTAATGGGAAATTCAGCAGTCAAAGGCTAAATCTTAGCATCAGGACTGAGATTATGTTGTCAGAACACAATAGACTCAGTAATACCTACTTTCAAGAAAGTTAGGACAGGTGATGTACTTAATATGGCAATGTTTTCATTACAGCTACTCAGATGGACTGTGAGGATCATACTGACATGTGTAATTATGATCATTTTTTTAATAAAACAATTATAAAGACCAGAGTACCTTGGTAACAGGATACATGAAAGATAAATGTTATGATAGTAAGCATTATCTAATGTGTTAAACAGTATAGGAAATGTAATGGAAATCAATGTAATTGATTTCTGGAAGTTTCAATGTAATTGAAACTAATTTTTAAAGTAAAATTCTAACATCTGACAGGAATGATGGTCTCAGATTAGTTTAGTCAGAACATTTTCCCACTGTTTATCATATTCAAATCTGCTGACCAAAATAACCAATCAATCACTTGAGGGTAATTTGCCAACATAGCAGGAAATGTTTGTTTACAGTACTTACTTACTTTTTCTACTAAACTGATTGTGCATCATATGTGATCATATAACAAACGTGTGCATTTCACCTGTGTGAAATCCTGTCACCATGACAATGCAAATGAGAGCTTTGTCATTAACAAGGATTTTGACTATAATCAGGGAGAAA